AAAACAACCTTAGCACCCAACTAATGACAGCCATTAACACTGACAATTGCAAAAAAAAAAAAAAAAAAAAAAAAAAAACAACCTTTTGAGGAAAGATAGAGAAATCAATACTGTCTATATCTGCAAGTGAAAATCAATGAAACTTTTTATCCTAGTTGGAGAGTGTAAATCAATGAAACTTTTTATCCTAGTTGGAGTTGGACATTAAGGCAGCTGGTAACATAGGAAATAAGCCAACTCATGACCAACCAGAATTAGGTTCCATCTTATTGATGACAGAGTTCATCGTGCCTACTTTGTTCGCCAAAATAAATTAAAATTTCTTTATGCTAACAGAATTGAGCATAATAAAGTTATGCATTCAGTATGTAGAGCCTTTTGCAGCAGTACCAGGATAGATGTTTCTGAAGATGGAGATTGCAACTGGAAGAATAGCAGATAGTGCTATCTGCAAATGCTCTGCGCTGCTTACTTTGAAAGTGATTTGCCCACTTTGCTTGTTGTTCAATCCCACACGGACAGCCATTTTAGAACTTCTTCCAATGGAGAATTGAGACTGCAAGTTGGCCATTACACCCAGGTCACCTCTCCACTTCATTAGAGACAGTCCCAAAGTGGTTTGATTCTGCTCTATGGGAAAATTCTTGTCATTCAGGCAAACTTCCAGGTTGGCTCCGTAGGCTGTCTCCCCTTGAGAACGCATAGTGCCAGCACCTCCTGACAAAACCAAGCGCTTTCCAACTGTAATCTGATCCTCAACCTTAAGTCCAGTGGCTATGTTTTCACCTAATAGAGTAACAGATAAGCCAGCAGCTGCTTTGTTCATTGTAAGAATTTTGAATTTTGTTTCACCCCTGAGGATGTAAGCAAGTTGCCTTCCAACTGCCTGTATGTCAAATCCTGCCATTGTTGATCCTTTTTCCCCCATTTTTGCACAAACAGAGGAATCCAAGTGGATGTTAAAGTCCTTTTTGTCCTTTGTGATTTGAACAGAAACTGCTCCTGGAAAACAACCAGCTATAGCAAGATTTCCTTCAAGGTTGACACCATCATACCCAAAATCATGATCCCAGCCCTGAGAATCCAGTACTGGCCTCACAAGAAGCTGAGATGCAGATTCCAGAAGTCGGTATCTGTAAGCAGGGTTGTCTCCATCAAAGGAAGGTGGAAGGATCATATCAGGTAAAGGAACTGGTACGGTTTCTGGACCTCCATCTTCTGGATTTCCCTCCTCTCCCTTGTACATATCGTTACTTTCACCCTCTTTGCCTCTCTTCTTCATTTCCCTCAATCTTTTTACCTCTTCTCTCCATTGTTTCTTTTGAAGTAGCTTCACACGATAATCATACTCCTCAAAATAAGCTTTCCTCTGCTCCTTGCTGAGCTTAGCAACCTGAGATCTCCCCAGTGGTTTGAATGGTGGAAGTTGATCATACTCATCATCATCTTCTTGGTCAGAGTCTGATGAATTGCCCAACTCCACATCTGAATCAACATTATCACCACCATGATCAGTAGAAAGCTTGGGATGAGCACGGGACTGCAGCAGAGAAGATAACAGGTATGGTAGGGGAGAGGAACGAAGCTGTAAGCCAAGAAGCTTTCGAAAATCAAAAGCATCTTGAGGTTTTGCTATAGAATTAGCTTCAGATAAGATCTTCAGTGAGTAACATAAAAGTAATAAATGGGGCCTCCAACTTTGTCCGTTGGGGAGCATACTTTCCCCATCTCTGTTCTTTTGATATGATGTATGGTTCTCAACAAGAGACACTGGATGTACCATACTTGGATTCATCAAACGCAGATCACCAACTGCTTGGCTTAAAGCTCGTTGAACCACATGGGACTTTTGAGCAACAAAGATATCATAACTTAGGGGTGAGCCAGATGGTCCATCTGGGGGAGCAGAAGCAGCATGTGTGAGAGTTATAATGGCATTTTGCCATATTGATGAACCAAGAGAAGAAGTAAATGATTTAAGTAACAGAAAATCCATGAGATCTCTGGCATTTGTGTCCAAACGATCAACATACAGGACCACATCTGGTGGAATCTTCCTTGTAAGCTTCTTTATAGATGCTAATATCTTGCGGTTGGTAACTGCATCAGTTGTAGGAGACCTAAGTCCAGGTGTGTCAAAGATTCGCATCTTGACTCCATTCACTGTTCCAACAATATCCTTCACAGAAGTTGTGGCAGGTTCGAATGCATCAACTCTAGCTTTTTCCTCACATAAAATGGAATTAATGGTTGCACTCTTTCCCACTCCCGTTTTACCAAGAACCAGAATGTCCAAAGAAAAGCCTAGATCTTCTTTACCCTCGGCTTCAAGCTTCATTGCTGCTTTCTTTGCTGATTCAAGGCTGAACTCTAGACTTGAATGGCTCCTTGTAGCTAGGGCCAACCTGTACAACACCTGTTCAACTAGAGAGTCATTTGGAGAAAGACCTAGCCTGTGTACAAGTCTCAGGAATTTCACTTTTAAGAGTTGTATCTTCTCAATGATCTTCTTCTCTTCATCACTTACATTATCTTGGAATACAATGTCAGCGATATTTGAAGAATCTGACTGAAAAGGGGGCTTAACAGAGAAAACTTTGGAACCATCTTTAGGGGTAATTCTGATGCTTCCACCATCAGGTTCAACACCCGTTGCTGCTTTTAAAAGAGCTGCCAATGCAGCAGAATCAAATAGCTCCGTTCCTTGACTTTCACTATCTCCAGTCTCTGAACGATCCTGAGAATCCATCTTTGAATGAGAAGGGGAAGCTAATCCTTGATCCAATTCATTCATTCTCCGATTGGTTTCAGGGCTTCCAAAAATCAGTTCTTCAATATCTTCATTAGAAAGAACCACTTTCTCTCCTTCCACCTGGTTTGAATTTTCTGATTTGTCGCCCTGAGAAATTTCAGCCCAGCCATTATTCCCATTATTCACAACCTCCCGAGTTGAAATTGGTTGTGAAATTTCAGAAGAGTCCACAGTTAGAATCCCATCACTTGAAAATGCATCTTTTGATGGTTCACTCCCATTAATTTTAGGCACGCCATCTTTTACTATATTCACGATCTCCTGAATTGAAAATGATTGTGAAGATTCAGAAGGCTGCAAAGTTGGAAACCCATTATTCTCAACTGCACACTCTGTATATTCAACTTCAGTAGCAGATAAAGGCTTAAGCAACTCAGCTCCCAAATCAACTTCCAGCTCAGTTTGGCTCTCCAGCTTCTCACTTTTACTGCCTCTATCCGTAGCAACAGTTCCACCAACATTAACAACGCCACTCTCATCCCTGTCCAATTTCAAAATTTCCCCCACAATATCTTCCTTACTCTCCACCATTGACTCAAGAGGAGCCTTTGGTATATCACCATGACTCACCTCTTCAACCACAAGATTCTCCAAAACTCCATTCTGAACCTCAGCATTTGAAGAGGACTCGGATTGGTTACCAAGAGCAGAATTTGTGGGCTCCAGTGATTCTTCTTCTTCCCCTCCTACTTCAACATCCACTGCCGCCTTTATTTTAGGTAAACTATTAACACCACCAGGAACCTTAACCGCACCAGAAAACCCTCCATTTTCCGCATCGCTCACCATCTCCTCATCACCCAACATCTCATCAAATTCATCGTCCATGGACAACTGGGCAACAGGCGTAAATAGCTTGGACTCCAGATTCTCCACCACACTAACAAAATTGTCTTCCTCATCAACCACTGAATTCTCTACGCTACCCTGGTCCGAGTCAGCCACAAACGGCCTAGAAACTGTATACCTTCCAACACCGTCGTTCTCCTCCACCATTTCCTCATCTGTCTCTCCCGTCATAGAAGGCCTCTCGGAAGCAGTCTCAAACTCCTCACCACTCAAATACTCAGACCCAGACCCACCACCACTGCCATCTACCCCACTATACCCACCACTGGATTCAAAATCAGAATCATCATCAATAGTTAGAGGAGCACGAATAAGAAAAGAACCTGTGGAAGACGAGCTTGAAAAAGTCCTCTCATTTGGGTTTCCCTTGGCACCAGATGCTGAAACAGAGACATGGGTTTTGGACTCCATAGCCTTGAGCTCTCCTCCACCTCTTCAACACCCAAAAAACACACACAAAACCCAAACTTACACCAAAGAAAAAGGTGAAGAGTTGTCTTGGTTGCCAAACTATAAAAGGTGATAGAATCAATAAATCCTACAAACAAATTCTAGGGTTTGTTTTGATTTTGTGGGATAAAATGGCCATGTGTGTGTTTATGGTCCGTTGGATTCGGATTACAGAAGTGGGGTTAGTTTCTCATTTCGATGATGTTTATGCTTGTGTTTTTGGGTTGGGGTTAGCCCTATTTCCGATATGGGTTGGTTTGGCGGCTGCGTAAAGTCTAGGACAGGACAACCACAACAAGATGGAAGCGGAGGGGAGTAAGACAACTACCACCATAAACCATACAAGGAAAAATTCAGATAAAACCGACTTGTGTTGGTGGCTATTAGGCATTTGTCTTTTTTGCTGTAATATAAGACACGGCGCATGTCTCCTGAGTGGCCTGTAATAATCTTGCAATTCACAATGTATTGAATTAAATAATATGAAAAAATATTTAAAAGTTTTTTTTTTAAAAAAAAAAAAGTGTTTAAGAATTGAATAAAAAAAATTTATAAAAAGTAAAAATTTAAAATTTTTTGAAATTTATTATTTAAGATCTTTTTAGTGTTAAAAATAAATTAAAAAATATAAAATTTTAAGAGAAAAGTTTTAATTTATGAAATATAAATAATGTTAAAAAATTAAAACCCATACAAATTTCACCAAAGATGCTCTTAGTTTAAATTAAAAAATATATTTTTGATATTATCTCATTGCCGTTTGTTAAATAAAAAGTGAAAATTTTGCTCTTGTCCTTGCTTAAAGGAAAAATTTTTCATGGGAAAGGAACTGCCTTTTCCTCTCCTTGAGATGGGCTTTCGTGGATTCAATGTGAGCTCTTTTTGTTTTTTTTTTGGCAAAGATTCGAAATTGACAATTGAATGAACTTTTTGGCCTTATTGAATGAACAATTTAACACCTCTCTTTGGTCCAATTAAAAGTTTTTTCATGGAAAATAAATAAGACTTTTCCTCTCCTTGAGGAGGGAATTCAATTCAAGCTACTATATACTAAATAATAATAATAATAATAATAAGCTCTTACAATTTTTAGGTAGGCAAAAACCCTTTTTAAGCCCTCAACCTTATCCTAAAATAGTATTTAAACTTCTAAACTAAAAATGAAGCAAATAAATCCTCCAACTCCATTAATAATACAAACCAAACCATTTTCATTCAAGGATATTCATACTTTTAAGGTGATATTAAATATGAAATACCGTTTGTGAGAAGGGTTTATTTGTATTGTTGGTGGAGTTGGAGGGCTCATTTGCTTCATATTTACTTTGGGAACTTAAATGTTATTTTGGGGTAAGTTGGGGGGCTTGAAAAGAGTTTTGACCCTTTTGGTAAGTTAAAATTGACAAATTTTTATTTGGTTAATAAAAATTGTGATAGAATGTAGGTCAATATTTATGAAATATATTAAAAAAATTAAGACATTTTGATATTTAAAATGTTAAAATATTTAATTTATTTTATATTTATATATTTAATAATTATAATTAATAATTTTAATATTTTAAATATTAAAACATACTGATTTTTTCATATACAATGATAAAAAAATTAGGAATATATTTCATGAAAAATGTCAGATAATAAATTAGGGATTTAATGGCTGCAGGGAGTACTTAGAAAATGGGTCAGCCCCATCATTCTGTTTGGAAAAGATCAATTTTGGGCTAGCCCAAAAAATCTTTTTATAATCCCCCCAGAAAGTTAAATTTTTTATTTATCTGAAGCTGTGAATTGGTGGCACCGTTCTTCGACCACCGATGGCGGATGCGCCGTGCGCCACCGTCGGCCTCCCCCCGAAATGTTCAGTGAGTCCGCTTTTACTGCCTAGAGCCTCCGCTAAATTCCCATCAAAGCTCACCAAGCGAAAAAATTTCTTACGCCCCAAAATCCTTAGAACCCTAACTAAACCCTTTCCTTCTTCTCCAACGAACCCATTGACCCCTGTCGTGTCCCCTGAACGAAAACCAGAAGATGCTACTGATTCGGAGCCTGTCTCTGATCAAATCCCGGGTGAAATTGTAGAAGAAGCCAATGAAGTTGAAGAATTTCAGGTCTCCGAGATCTCCGCCGTGGCTGGAGAAAATAATGGCAGTTTTGGCATGTTCTCTGCCAAGTCTGTCCTGAAATTTGGGTTTTATTTTATTGGGGTTTTTATTCTTCAAACAATCTTTGCTGCTTTGTTGATGGGAAATGCAAATACAGAGCAGAAAGATAGTGATTTGGGCAGTTCTGAGAGGAACAAAAGGAGAGGGAAATATGTGTTGGATAAAAATGGGAAATTTGGGTCTAATTCAAGTAATGTGATTTATTTGGATGAACCTGAGTTGGAAGGAAAAATTGAAGAAATAAGGGCAATGGCAAGGGAGGCAAGGGAGGCAAGGAAAGCTGAACAAAAGGAATTGAAAGGTAGCAATGAGGAAGGTGACATTGTTGATGAAGCCTTAAATTTTAAGGAAAGAGCTGGGATTCAAAGAGAGATTGATGCAAGATTAGATAGGTTGGAGAAGAGATTGAATTCTAAGAGAGAGAAGTTACCCGGTTCATACTTGAGTTCTTTGGATAGACTAAACAATGGTGAGGATGCTGAGACAGAAGAGATGAATACGAGATTGATGGTTAAGAAGAAGTTTAAGTTTAAGGATCCTGATATGAATTCTGGAAATAATGTAAAGGGGTTTCCAGGTTCAGAAGATGGTAAGATGTCAAAGTGTAGGAAGAGTGGTAGTATAGCTAGGATCACTTCTGGGACTGTTGAAGTGGATTGGATTAAGGAAGAAGCAGGCCAAGGCAAAGCTGGAGCAAAAGCAGCAAGTGAAAATTTGAGTTCCTTACAAAGTGATGGAGACAAGACTGAGAAAAGAGAGAAGAAAACAGGAGCTGCAGCTAATAGGTTTGGTAATGTCCCTCAAGAATATCTTTATCTTTTCATGATTTATTGCTAATTCCATTTGTGTATTGTGACTGTTCCACACTTATGTTTGTTACTTTCCCCCTTCTAAGATCTATATTATTGGAATCATGCATGAATTACCTAACTGTGGTACTATCAGTTTTGATACAATAGATTTAAGATGGCAGGTGATGAATAAAATTTCTAAAATCGCTAAAACAGGATGAAAAAACTCATGGAAATTCTATTTCTGAGCTTAGCAATTGACATGCTTGCAGTTTGTTAAATCCAATAATACTTTTTGTTGATTTCATGGACAATCTGGGATGTTTGAAAAATCTTTTAGGTACTGTCCAGGAGAGTAGTCAGGGAAGCTCCTCCACCAAAGGTATGGATTCAAGAAAATTAAGTGATTTAGGGATCCAGAATCCAAAGGACTTCACACAGGAGAACCTGGATGCTGGCAAAAAATCTGATAAGCACACTCTTAGGGTTACAAATGGCCATGCAAAACAACAGAGGGAAGTTGGTAAGAAACCTCCAGCCAAAAAGTTCGAGGATAGACCATCAGACAACAAAAAAGACCTTTGGTGGCTGAATCTTAGATATGTTTTTGTATGTAAATGCTACTCCTGCCCTCTGCACTCTGCACTGTCTCACTTGCAATATAAATCTAACTTATTTACTTTCAACTCAAAACTTGCCACTGAGCATCTAATTGGCTGCACAGGCAATTCTCATGCGTGGAGTTCTTGATGGTGAAGAAACTAAAGGACTTTATACCTTAAGAAGTACTTCTCAAGTGCAGGATGAGAGCAAAAGTCCCCTCACTGTTGCCTTCGAGGACCGAGGTGATGCAGATAATTTCCGTTATCTGCTTGAATCTTTTTTTGAAGATCTTGGGGATTTTACTGCTGATGTTGTTCCTTTGTCGGTAAAGGTATAACCATAATTTGATTTTAGATAGTTTCCATATTTGTCCATGCTGTTTTTGATGGACCAAGTAAAAAAATGGTCTTAGAATTTGTTGTCAATGTGTTCCACAAGGGGATTCCTAATGCATTTAAACACATCTTAATTTTATAGATAATAGATAGGTGTTGTATCCCTGTTTTATGAACAACCACGTGAAGGCATTATTAACTTTTTGTTAGCTGGTGTTGCAGGGGGTTGCATTCCCCAGAGACCAGAGCTGTAAATGATAAATAATGCACTACAGCTTGGTTCTTGTCAAAAAAAAAAAAAAAAAATCCTGTTGTGTTTTCCTAGCATGTGTCTTTCTTAATGCCAGCTGCTGAGTGAATCAGAGACAAATGAAACTGGAAACTGAATTTTGCAGGAACTTCATGAAGTAGTGGGAGTACATCCAAAGAATGTAATTGTTGTTAAGAAGGGACAACTTAAGCTGTATGCTGGGCAACCAATAGCTGAGGTTGAGAATGCCTTGTACACTTTGGTTGCAGAAAATCAAGGCACCGCCTAGGTTGTGGAGCATGGAGCAAACAAATTTGACAACGGATGAATAGATCAGAAAACCAGCAAAGACATAACAAATGCACATTGCACACCCAATTTTGTTAAGTGGAGAGCTTTATTAGCTCTTTGCTATGGATTGGCTTGGCATAGAAAGTTAAAAAAACATGAGAACAACCACTGAAGAAACCGCATCCCTCTGCTTCAGGGTATCCCTGTATGCTATGAGATGGAGCAAGCTTGAAAAGTGCAATTTTGATGAATAATTGTTATTGTTTTTGGATTTGGATTTTGAACACTATTGAGATTTTTTAATCAACAATTTTGGCAATATTGAGAGAATTATATATATCAACAATTTTTGGCAATTTTTAGTAATCAAATGGTGTTGATATTTTATTTGACAATTCAGGACTGTGCATGCCTGGAGTCTGGCTGCTGTTCTATTGGAAATGAATTTTGCAGGAACAAGATAATTGTTCTAGAATCATGTAAAACTGCATTTACATGAAAGAAGCTTCTCAAAGTCTTACCCTCACCTAGAAAATGCTCCTACATGTGCCCTTATGCCACAGCTACTGTAGAGACTACTGGGAAGAAACAACTTTGAACAAGGACTGAGCATGAATGGTTGATAAATTTGTCTGGCAAAAGCTTTCCCATGCCTCCTGCTCCTCCTTCTCCATAAATGCCTTGTGTGCCGCGATCACAATTCTCCTCGCTGCTTCTCTAGCCTCTGGTAGCCTGTCATTCATTAAATCTGCAGCCATTTGAAGCAGGGGAACCAACCCAAATTCCGTCATTTCTTCCAGAGCCTGCAATTAACACAAATCATTTTCATCACAATCTAGACACAGTAAAATTAGCATCCAAGAGTTATTGTAGCAATGGAGTTTCTCAGGAATTTACCATCTTGGAGACAGCATTGGAGATAGAAACAGCTGCTTTGGCCCTGACTCTAAGGTTTCCATGGCTGACATATCCACGGAGCTTATGGAGTAGAGGCAGAGAAGACATTGACTTCACCATTGCATTAAGCGCTCTGTCTGCCTCTTCACATACAAACTTTTTGTCCTGAGAAGCTTTCAGTAGCAGCTGCAGAAGCTGGAGATCCACCATTAAATCAATTGAAACATAATCAGAGCTCATTTTCAAATCCAATCAGGTAAAATTCAAAACCCCAGAAAAAATAAAATTTGTAAAATTTGTAAGGGTCAGCCCTGGGAACATACTAGTTGATCAAATGCATCAGAGTTGGTGGATTCAAGTAACTTTTCCCCAAAGGCATTGAAGATATCAGATGAAGCCATTATAGAGGTCTTGCATAGAGCACTTCTCGGGTTCTTCATCGCCTTCACCACCACCAAAATGACCTTTTCCCTGCACAAATCAACACGACCCGTTATTGAAAAGACAAGAAAAAAATCAAATCGGAATTACAGGGGAAATAGAAAAGCAATCTTACAAGAGGGGAGCCAAGAGAGAAGAGTGGTACAGAGAGAGCCGCCTAGCGTTGTTCAGAGACTCGCAGACTTTTATCCAATCCTTTGAATTTAACCCTTCAATCAAGCCCTGGATTTTCAAACAATTTTAGAAAACAACCGAATCAAAACCATTGACTGAAATGAACATAAATTCAACTCAAATCAATGAGCAGGGATATTTACTTGAATGTTGGATTCAGGGTCTTGAATGGGTTTGAGATTCTCAGACGGGACGTAATCAACGGTGGCATCAACCGACGGAGGTGGAAGGGGAGCCCTGTTTTCGTCATTCACGCCGCTGTCCGGCTGTTTCTGGACCGGAACAGAAACCTTCGCTTGCTTCTTCGGCCTCTCTGGTGTTGTCGGGAGAGCATTATCAATAGGTCTCAACGCCATCGCCATTTTTTTTCTCTACAGAAGGAAAGAATACGGGACGGATAATTTCGATCTGATTATAAATTCTTTCTTGATGCAAAAGGAGAAAGTCGGTAAATTTTAAATTTTGAAAAAAGAGTTCAAAAGAGCCGTTGGGCCTCCCACTTTCAAAGCCTTTTTAACGGTCGTCAAGCCTAAACGAGGAATCATTTCATAATTCATACGGTAGGTGCTATTATTTAAAGAAAAAAAGTTGTATACTTCCTTTCTATCCAATTACATAACATTAATTATTAAATACATTTAGAGGTTTGCATCGAGTGGCCTCAAGTCATCTATAAAGTGCATCTTGACTCTCTTTTAGGCAATAGTTTGAATTTGATATTTTACAAATTTATTCAAAAAAAACATTAATTATTAGATAAGTATTATTTAATTAATATTAAAGGTATTTTTAATCTGATAAATTATATTTTATAGAGTTTGTTTAATTTATATTTTATTAAGAATATAATAAATATACTTTTTATAATTAATTTACATTAAAATTTATAAAATTTGATATCTATTTTAACAATACTAATACATGAATTATTTTAATTAATTAATTAAACTAAAATCAACTTTTACACTTTCAATAAAAATTAATTATAAAAAATTATATTTCTTACAGTCTTATCATATGCCCTTAAAACACAATATATAAAAATCATATTTTATAATTTAATATAGTTTAAATTACAAAATAATTTTTTATTTTATTGTTTAAATTATATAAAATTATAAAATAAAAACAGGTAAAAAAGAAAGCACTTCTAATATCATGGAACACGCCTCTCAACAAAAGTTTCATATTTAATAACTAAATACAATCTGAACTGCACTCCAACACCACCATTCTCCCTTTTCTCTCTCTTCTCTAGAAGTCTTCAGCCTCTGCTTTTTGAGTGCTTAGAAGCCTCTAGGCTTCTCGAGTTTTTGATGCTTAAGCAGTTGGAGGGCTTCTCAAGCATGGTGGAGCTGGTCAATTGTGCTCCTCTGTTTGGTGATCATTTTAGATGGTCTGTTGGTTTTTTTGTGGCCCAATTGGTGGCCTTTGCTCAACTTTCTTTTTGTTTCTTGATTTTTGTTTGAGTTTTCTCATATCTGGGGGCCAACAAGCCAATCATGAAGAATTTTGGGGCTGG